AGTGTGTCCTGCCTGTTCTCTGCACTGTGTGTATATACATTACACCCTGTCTGCTCTTTCAGACATTGTCCACAGTTCATTCTGTCAGGGAGTGGCTGACCACATTGTAAATAAATGGCATTCAGTGTAACTCTGAGACTCCCATGCTTCCTGGAGCAGATCTTCACAAACGCTGCTGTGAGCCGGTCGATTAACCTCCCTGTACGACACACTGGGATGTTTCGATTACAGCTTGGGAAGTTTTGATCCCGTCTGACCGGCATCAAGGTCCTTTGTTGTGTTCCAGGATTACGGCTTGGGTCCTTGCTGGAGCTGAGAGATTCTGTAAGCTCCATCTTCCTGCCCGTCTCCTGTGGAAGGAATCCAGGAGAATTCATGGATTAGAGGGAAGGACTGCGAGGTGTTGGCTGATCCCCGCCGGCCCCTGTGTCTCCATTGCGTGCGGGTAATGGTGCTGTTGTTTGCTGAACTTTCCCAGCTGCCCGCCACACCTGCCCACGCTTTGATCATCATGGTGAATTAGAGTGAAAATGGCAGCATCTGAGGGCACCACTGCACTGGGATGTGGGGCAGGTTGGGAAACACAAGCAGCGGGCAGGAGGGTGGGGCTGGTCTGTGGGCTCTTGGCAGACAGTGAGACATCCTTCAAACCTAGTTTTTGCGTCACTGGGGATGTCGATGGCCTTTTGTACAAAGCTGTTGGGGCGGGCTTTGATGGGACCGAATTTTCATTGGCTATCTTCTGACGGCCATGGAGGGTGAGGTCATGTGACGTGCACTCGACCCTGTTTGGCACAAACAGCCATCCGAGGCTGACCTCTGGGGGTCAAATGGTCAGAAGAGCAGGAACCACTCAAGGTATGTTGAGAATCCAGAGTGATGTAGCGTGTTTCTGCTCTTAAGATGGTTGACAAGGGCTCCCAAGCTACACGCATCCCATTGACATAAGAACCGCAGGTACTCTGTAAGGGATGACTGGGTTGTAGACAGCAGGAACAAAATAGACACAAAGACTAACAAACTGATGGTCTATAACTGCAGTGTCAGGCAAGGAACTTCCCATTCCGTCCCTCTCTAAGCCCCCTCCCCACCCATGCCTCAGTCTTTCTTGAACCCTAACCTCTCTCTCCATCTTCCCCTGTTCTCCATCTGTCTAACCTGGGGTCCAAGCTTGACAGCGAAATGCAAAGAAACCTACTTTTGGTTTGCTGTGGAGACCCTGGAGACAGATCCAGAGGTGAGTGGTGTAATGTCTCCATCCAACGTGAGGTAGAAGGTCCCCTTGCCCTGTCCCAGCATGTATCAGCTGTCTACCGGGGCAGACATCTGCTGTGCTCTGCTCCTGAAGAATTTGTGTGAGCTTCATGGCTGGCAGTCATGCTGAGATTCAGCTTATAGAAATATCTCCTGTTTTCACAGGTGTGTCTGATTTGATGTGAAACAGCGTTGGATTCATGGACAGCATGTGCGTCTGTGTTTGGCCCGCACACAGTCAGCGACTGATTGACAAATGGCTTTAAAGCCCAAACTCTTCTGGGTGCCACACACCTGGCTGTTCTTAGCTCTCGTTCCAAGTGGTATTTTTCACACAAATGATCCGTAACACGCTGTAATCGCACAAGGCCGTGTGTACTGAGCTGCACGAGGTGTACAGTCACTGTGGTACTCAGAGTCCCCAGCATGTACAGTCACTGTGGTACTCAGAGTCCCCAGCATGTACAGTCACTGTGGTACTCAGAGTCCCCAGCATGTACAGTCACTGTGGTACTCAGAGTCCCCAGCATGTACAGTTACTGTGGTACTCAGAGTCCCCAGCATGTACAGTTAACAGCAGGAAGTGACGCAAGGGCCGAATCGGACCGATAGAAAGCTGAAACCGTGCGTCTGTGTGGCGAGCAGGCGGTCCTGGAGCTGTCCGTGGTTCTGAAGCCCATTATCTTTTGGGGCTCAAGGCTGGGTAGAGTTCACAGGTTGAAAGGTCAAAGGTCGCTATGCTGGAGAGCCGACTCTGGATCTCAGAATAATGTGAGCTGGTCACCTCTCCACCCCCTGAAGATCCAGCTTGACCCAGAGTCCCCTAGCAGGTGGAAATACCAGGTCATATATACAGAAATCCAGGTCATCACGAATCTCCTGGACAAGCTGCTGAAAGCACTTGATGGATATATGTCTGGGCAGATCAGGGTCCCCTGCTTTGGCGGGTGTTAATCACGGAAGGGGGGGGGGGCGTGATGGTGTTCCCCACCTGCCTTCACCAGCTGTTCACTCGGTCATCCTCTGTAGCTTCACAGAACGATGAAAAATGAGAAAACATCCCAGAATGCAGCAGGTAATCCACCCCATTTGTTTTTGGTTATGCCAATGTGCAATTGCCCTTAATGGTCTGTACTTTACAATGAGGGTCTTACTTCTTGAATATTTGAAGCATTTATCAAACATAAGTCTCAGGAGGGAGGTGCTGATTGGGTAGGTCTGTAGTTGGAAAATGTGAAGTAATCCTACCATGTAAAACAGCGGAGTGTATTTTGCCAGACAGATGATAAAAGGCACATGCTCTTTTCGTTTGGGTTTCCGCGCTGTCGTCACCGTGCGGGATCCTGAGCTTGGTCATGAACCTTTGGTGGGGCCTCGCTGTTCTTTTTCTAGCAGGAATGTCGAGGGTGACCTGTGTCGGCACGGAGTCTTGCCCTCGGCTCGTTGGGAGGACGCCCCATGCTCTTAATCTCACACCTCTGCTGCCGTCCGCAGAGGGCTGGGTTAAAAGGCACGCGTAATGCGTCTGCTCTTGGCCTCATGCCCCGGATAGCGGCTCCCCCAATGTGCTGTTGATGATAGCACCTCTCTCGCCGTGGCTTGGGGACCCTGCTCTGTTTGTAAACAGATGAACATGCTGCCAAGTACCGGCAAGTACTGGGCAGTACTAGGAAGTAATAGGGAATATTGGGGAGTACCAGGGAATACTGGGAACTTGTGCACTGTGTGCACCAGCTGCTTTGT